TTACCACAATATCAAAAGGAAAACAGATTTTTTCATTGATCACACTTTGTGTTATTTAAAAGTCTTTTAATCATGATTTCATTAGTGCCATGTGCTCTTAGCATTTATGCTCGCAAGTGGAGTTTTTGGCAAAAAATAAAGAAAATTGTCAATTCTGTTACCGTCAAACTCTGTTACCATGTTAGAGTAACAATGCTGACAGTTCAGTAACAGAGTTGACAGTCCATCAGACAATTCTGTTACTTTACAATTCTGTTTCTTAAAGGGTCAACTCTGTTTATGAACTATTTTCACAAAAAAACAGTAAAATTGTTGTTTACAATCTAATAAACATTATTGATTTATTTTTGCACCCTTATAATATTTCAACAACATTTCTTTTTTTAACTGGATATTGTATATAATACATTTTCAGATGAAAAAATATTTGCTCCAAGTGGACGGTTCTGTGAAGACACAGGTATTTTTTTTAATTTTAAGGTACGCATAGGTGAAATATTATCTCAGTTTGAAGTGATGGAATGCAAGGACAGTTTGTCTAATGAAACAAGAAGGAATATTTTTCCTGTTATGATTTATTGTTATTTCTACACATTGGCTAATTTGTCCGTAACCGAGTTGACAAACAATACCATAAATACATTTGTTTGTTTTTTTCATTAAAAGTAAAAGGAAGTAACTTTTGTTTGGCAAGCACTGAATTATTAAAATGAAATGTTTTCAATAAGTTACTGGAAAAAAATTCTGTTAGCGAAAAATTTTTTTTCTTAACTTTCTGCAATGCCAAAAGTATCTCCAATTATAGAACCACCCATGCGTTAAAACCAAAATAATGCCAGATCCAGTTCAGTGGACAACAAACACCAACTTGCCTAACCTTCTGAGTGCCAAGAGTGCTCTGCATGCAGAGATTTGATGATGAGTAGCTGTTGCGTAATAATGCAACTCAACATTTAGTTATGAAATTCAACTATTTTACATTTTGACGAGTTGGTGGGTAATTCATATGAATTTGTATGATCTCATGCATATGTTTTTTTTTTTTGGTGTAATCTGCTAACACCACAATAGCTATATTTACATGCACCCAAATAATCAGTTTATAATTGGATTGATGGCTCAGTGTGACTGAAAAGCCTTTTTGTAAATTCCTCAATTGATCCAACTGAGCTTGATCCAAATTACATTTAAATCAGACTGAATTTATACATCTATGTATGTTGTGTGTATGAAATAGACACTAGAACAGTCAAAATGCAAATAAAAGTGCCCTGCAAAATTATTTTGGCTTAAACTGACTTTAATTTTGGTGTCTTATTAATATTTGCATAGTGCATAAACATTATATTGAACATTCTCAAACTTCTGTAATTAGATAATTAGAGGGAAATTATATAGAGACAATTATTCTAACGGTTTTATCACCCAGCCCTAGTCTAACATAAGTGTCAGCTTTTTAGATATGTTGTCAAGGCATTTATTCTCGTGGTCGCTCCAGTGACATTATTGCGGTGGCTTTCTCCACATCTGAACGCGGCAAATGGAAACTGTATGTGAATTTATTCAGTTTGACGAAAATTTGTGCATGTTAACATGCCTAGTATTGACGGTTAATTTTAGGGGTGTTTATTCCATGTTAATTTTTTTTAAAGTCGTACGTTGCCATACAAATCACATTGGGTGAATTCATACGAAATCGCTACCTCGTAAAATAGCTTTCTCATGAAATCAGGTTGGCCAGACACAGATGAACTCACGTTTTCTGGTGGTCACTGACTCTGTTCCTCAGGACATTGATCTGTAGAGAGACCCACAATCAAAAACACTAAACATCTCACTGAACACAGGATAATGAGAGTGTGATGAATGAGTCATTTGTGCGAACTCTGAGCAATACTTTCATTTTGTTTCCATATAATTAGATCCAGGAAGACATTAGATGCAAGTGGATAAGAATGCTTTTCTTTGAAATAATTTCAATAGAGTCAGCATGAAATTATATACAGTACGTAACCCATTTTACTTACATAATATAATGCTGCATACTTTATCATATTGATGTAATCTGGCATTTATTTACTGCTTTAACTGTAAGCCTGCAGTGCTGACAGCGTCAATTGACTACTGCTTAACATTAACCAATATCCTGCACAGAGTGACACAGCCAGTAAGGAAGACCAAGATATTACACTTATATAACATGCAGTGATGATTTGTACACATTGAGACCAAAACAGGGTCGTTTCTGATTTCATGGTGACTCTGTGGGTTCTAGAACAACTCAAAGTGATTTAGTCTTCAGCTTACCTCATATTTCTGTTTGGTAAACTGGTACTGTAACTCAAACTTCTCGGCTTCTAGTTGACGCATCCAGCTCCACAGTTCCTTTGTTTTCTCCCTGATGAAAAAGAAAGAAAAAGTATCATTGTTTTTATATGATTGAATCTGCTTAATTACTATTTGTATTTGTAGTATATGGAATTATATTACAGAACTTAAGAACTGGTTAAAAAAAGTCTTACTGAATTAGTTAACATTAATCAACTGCTTGTGTGCTTAAGAACACTCTTTAAAGGGATAAGTCTAAAAATCACAATTCTGTCATCATGCACCATCATGTCATTCTTCTGTTGATCAAAAATTAGATTCTGATATTTTTTTTTTCTTATGGTAACTAAAACTGTTTACTGTTGTGTGGGATCGGTAAAGGTCAGCGCGAGTTGGGATTCGAACTCGGGACGCCCGAAGCGCAAAAAGGCGCTATATTGCCCACGAGGCAATTTCCATTTCTTTGTGCTTGATGTGCCATATTAATTAGTTAAATTTGCAATGACTCTCCAAACCTGAGAGCAGAGTCGCTGGCATTGTCGATGTCCAAAGGTTTGCGGTGATCACTAAGAATCTTCTTCTTCTTCTCTCTCTCAGTCTGTTTCTTTCCACTCCGTCTCTCTATCTGCAAAACAACATCATAGAGAACAGTATCGACAATAGGGCTGTAATTTTTTTTTTAGAATTTCTAATATTCATCGAATTTAAAATAAAAATAAATTTTAGGTGTGCATCAGGCAGCCTTATCAGCGGCGCACGAGATGCGATGACGATGTAAGTCTCATTGCATTTTAATGCTTTTGTTAGCCCATCCAGTTGAAGCCACTAGATGCGTCGCTGCTGCGTTGTTCATTCAAAATATTGTGGGAAAAAAGAACATCAATGCAGAGATGATGTTGTTTACGTCAAAAAGCGAAACCAAACCGTTCACACAGAACGCATATTTATCACATTTTCTAGAGGGATGTCTATCACCGTTGGTTGCACTTGAGACGTTGTGCGAGACGCACAAGAGAGCCGCATGTTTAGAAAGCCATGTAAAATTAATGTAAGTTCAACTTTTTAAAAACATGTCTCAAGACTTTATGGCGGTTTTCCCCCATCCTACTGCATCTCAAATTTTTTAATGAGGAACGTACTCTTTGTGATTGGTTTTCGGTCCTTTGTATTAAACTATACATACATGCACGATTCTGTTTTGTTTCTAATTGTTTAATTATATAAGGTTTATAAACATTATTTTAAACATTATGCACTTTTGTTCAAAGATAGTCGTGTTATTTTATTATGCTTTGAAGAAACGTGCATAATATTTTGTTCGATGCGCCATCTTGTGGCCTCAGGAGAGAAGCCAAAAGCCCCCCCCAACTGAAATTATGCCTTTTTTAAATTGGAATATAATTAGAATATTGATAATATTTAAGTACAAAATTCAAATTTAGTTTTTCAGCCATTTTGACAGCCCTAATTGACAATGTATTTTAATAAAGCATTGATATTGATGATGTATTTTCTGTTTACCTATTTTAATGTCTGCATATTTTAAAATGCAAATCATTCTTATTTGCTGATTTCCTGCTCAAGAAAAATGATTATCAATGTTAAAAGCAGTTGTGCTGCCTAATATGTTGTGGAAACTGTGGTCATTTTTTTTTTACATCGTTTATTTGAAATAGTTTTTTTTTTGTAACAAAGTGAAGACTTTTGATCAATTTAATGCATTTTTTCCTAAATAAAAGTGTAAAAAAAATGTTTGAACAGTAGTGTAAATTATGATAATTATGCATATTGTGTTTTAGATGAATTTTAGAAATATGTTTCAGAAGTGCCATAGCTAATGTTTTAAATGCTTTTAATTATATACCATTATAAAAGCCATCCCAGTCAAGTAGAAGATTGAATCTTCATCTCTGACATGGCCTTATTTTTATTTTTTTAAATATTGTCAGATTTCTGTCACTAAACTCAAAAATGTATAGGTCTTTATCATACTGTCTCGTCTCTCAGCTCTGACCTTCTGCATGTAACCACCGAAGTGCAGACTGGTGAGCGTCTTCTTCTTCTTGGCGTCATCCTCCGCTCTCTTTTTGGCTTCCTCTTCCTCCTTGCGAGCTCTTTCCTCCTGAACATTTGAAAACAGGAAAGGATTTGCAAAGCTAATGCCAGTTTGCGTCCATCAGTGTGTGGTCACAGAAAATGCTTCCACTCACCTCCAAACGCTTCTGTCGTTCCCTCTCGCGTTCGCTGCGGATCCTTTGCTGCTCTGCTCGCTCGGAGCGCCGCTTCTCCTGCGGAGTCACTCACACATTACAACATCGACAGCAGTTTCAGTGAGAGCTCACTCAACAAGAGCTTATGGGGGCGTTCATTCTTCAAAATGACAGAGCTGATTGATTTTGACGCTTGTCTGTTGAGTCCTTTTCAGACTCATTCAGGCTTGAACTGACCGCTAATAGACCTGTTGGAATATTTTTACTCTGGGTCACATGTTAGCCCCAATGATTGCATATTTGTCATTTCCCTGTTTTTGACTTTAGGAATTATTTAATTTATGATAAATATGTTTACATGGTAATAAGCAGCTGTGATGTAATGGGACAACATTGCTCACTCACAATCCTATCTTTAAGACTGATGAGTTCCTCCTCCTCCTTCTTACGGCTTTCAAAGTGAGCTTCAATCAGCGTCTGGAGCTCATTCAGGTCTTTCTCCATACGTTTACGATGGATATCCTGAGGGGGGAAACATTTGACCTTTGAGATTGTATCCGAGACGGTTTGCCTGGCAAAATGTGCAAGTTCAGGTATACAGAAGCATAAATCAAAAGCTCATGCAGAAATTCGCTTCTCCAAATGTCTGCATCCAGTGAAACATTCTGTTGAATTTATAGAATTGCTGGTCTCTACAAATCTTCTAATGCATGTTTTCGGTCGTCAAAATATTTCAGGACTTCAAAACACCTGTCTACTCTAATAAGTAAATGGGTGATCAGAGAATAGCTAGCCCCTTTCACACATACAGTCTTTACTGTTAAATTACCATTAAGAGATCATGTGTGAACAGGACCTTTTCAAAAATACCGGTACATTCGTTTTGGCAATTTCACGGTATGAGAAGTTGTAAATTACTAGTAAATTATCGGTGATGTGCTCCGTGTGAACGCAGAACGAGATTACGTGAGAAGTCTACTATGGGCCAATCATAACATTCTGAAGCTGTTTATGGAAATCAAAGAAATGTCTAAAGTTGTCTAATACGATGTCTCTGAGCCAAAAGCAGCTGAACGTTTGACACAAAAATGAAAACATCAACAAAAACACAGACCGCGTTTACCCCTCCATGTTGACAAACACAACACCGGGAGGTGCAGCCGTTTAGAGGTCATTTCTGGTTAATGATGTCACAGAATTTACCGGTATTTTGAAACTGACGTGTTAATGGTGCTTTACCAGAAAAAAGACGGAATGTAGTTGTCTGTGTGAACAGTGCATTTTTGTATTTACCGCTAAAGTCATTCCGAAAATTTTACAGCAATTTACTGGTATTACTGTGTGAAAGGGGCTAATATTTCAAACTCAGTCGTGCGTGTTTTTGGTGTAAAAAAAAGTTTGGTAAAAAATGAACCAGAGCCCAGGCAGAACTGCTTTAGAAAATACCCCAGATATTTAAAATGATGAAAAATTACATTACAGTAATTATAAATAGAGTTTTAATATATTAAATGATAATTGGTTTAATTATAAAATATATTTTTTATTATTATTTTGTTATCTTTTGTTATCTGGCCTATCTGTTATATGCCAAATACCACCATTTAAAAGTTTTGGGCTCAGATTGTATTATTATTATTATTATTATTATTATTATTATTATTATTATTGAAATTATTATTATTATTATTATTATTATTATTATTATTATTATTATTATTATTATTATTATTATTATTATTATTATTATTATTATTATTATTATTATTATTATTATTATTATTATTATTATTATTATTATTATTATTAATGTGCAAGTTCAGGTATACAGAAGCATAAATCAAAAGCTCATGCAGAAATTCGCTTCTCCAAATGTCTGCATCCAGTGAAACATTCTGTTGAATTTATAGAATTGCTGGTCTCTACAAATCTTCTAATGCATGTTTTCGGTCGTCAAAATATTTCAGGACTTCAAAACACCTGTCTACTCTAATAAGTAAATGGGTGATCAGAGAATAGCTAGCCCCTTTCACACATACAGTCTTTACTGTTAAATTACCATTAAGAGATCATGTGTGAACAGGACCTTTTCAAAAATACCGGTACATTCGTTTTGGCAATTTCACGGTATGAGAAGTTGTAAATTACTAGTAAATTATCGGTGATGTGCTCCGTGTGAACGCAGAACGAGATTACGTGAGAAGTCTACTATGGGCCAATCATAACATTCTGAAGCTGTTTATGGAAATCAAAGAAATGTCTAAAGTTGTCTAATACGATGTCTCTGAGCCAAAAGCAGCTGAACGTTTGACACAAAAATGAAAACATCAACAAAAACACAGACCGCGTTTACCCCTCCATGTTGACAAACACAACACCGGGAGGTGCAGCCGTTTAGAGGTCATTTCTGGTTAATGATGTCACAGAATTTACCGGTATTTTGAAACTGACGTGTTAATGGTGCTTTACCAGAAAAAAGACGGAATGTAGTTGTCTGTGTGAACAGTGCATTTTTGTATTTACCGCTAAAGTCATTCCGAAAATTTTACAGCAATTTACTGGTATTACTGTGTGAAAGGGGCTAATATTTCAAACTCAGTCGTGCGTGTTTTTGGTGTAAAAAAAAGTTTGGTAAAAAATGAACCAGAGCCCAGGCAGAACTGCTTTAGAAAATACCCCAGATATTTAAAATGATGAAAAATTACATTACAGTAATTATAAATAGAGTTTTAATATATTAAATGATAATTGGTTTAATTATAAAATATATTTTTTATTATTATTTTGTTATCTTTTGTTATCTGGCCTATCTGTTATATGCCAAATACCACCATTTAAAAGTTTTGGGCTCAGATTGTATTATTATTATTATTATTATTATTATTATTATTATTATTATTATTATTATTATTATTATTATTATTATTATTATTATTATTATTATTATTATTATTATTATTATTATTATTATTATTATTATTATTATTATTATTATTATTATTATTATTATTATTATTATTATTATTGAAGGAATTAATATTTGTATTAATAAAGCAATGGTGACTTAAATTGATTGACGCTGCTCTTTTGAAGTTTCTATTCATTAAAGAATCCGAAAAAAAATCGAATTTAATATTTTTTTTTTTTACTGTTTTTTATTTTTGCGTTGTGTTTACTATTGTCCTCTTGCATTATCGGCACAGTATTTTCCGGTTTAATACTGTAAAGCTGCTTTGACACAATCTGTTTTGTATAAAGCGCTATATAAATACAGTTGACTTGACATTCTAGAGTGGTTTGACATCCATTATTAATAAGAAAATAAAATGGGGAATCCACTTCAGTTCCGAAATCATATGGCAGATATGCTTAGAATGGCAAAGTGATGGCATGGTTATTAAAAGACAAATGCCAGTCTTGACCCATCATAACCAAAATAGTTTCATGGCGCTGTGGGTCTTGGTATGGTAATTTTACTCACATCAAAATCAACTCTTTCTCCGTCTGGAATCTTTGGGGGCACCAGGTTCGGTAACATAAATGGTCTGGAAAATATAATGATGATGTTTCAAAATTCTGTATGATATGAAAACAAGTGTTGTTGATCTTTTAAAAAAACATAAAACCAATCAATGGCTATTAATCTAAACTTACTTTAGGATTTTGGGTTTCGCCTCTTCTGAAGAATCAAACATACAAACAACAGAAGTTATTCAAAGTTATGTGAGAGACTTTTTAAAAGACTTTTTACTTTTAAAACTATAACGTGTTGCATATACAGTGGGGCAAAAAAGCATTTAGTCAGCCACCAATTGTGCAAGTTCTCCCTGTGACAACCTTGTGAAGACTTACAGAAAACGTTTGACCTCTGTCATTGCCAACAAAGTGTATATAACAAAGTATTGAGATTAAATTTTGTTATTGACCAAATACTTATTTTCCACCATAATTTGTAAATAAATTCTTTAAAAATCCTACAATGTGATTTTCTGGTTTTTTTTTCTCATTTTGTCTCTCATAGTTGAGGTATACCTATGATGAAAATTACAGGCCTCTCTCATCTTTTTAAGTGGGAGAACTTGCACAATTGGTGGCTGACTAAATACTTTTTTTCCCCACTGTATGGTCAATCAGGCGTGTCTGCTTATAAATATCTGAAGCCTAATTTGCATACATCTTCCCTTTGTGTTCTCATGGCAGTTATTGCACAATAGCCAGCGGTTACAGATGAAGAAGAATGTGTTATTAAATCCGGGAACGAGATTATAATCGAAATACTGCTGTCTTTTTTCTGATGGAATGAATGTTATCACACGAGGATTTGGGATCATCTAAAGCTTTGAAGAGATGGTTATCCAGAAGGGTGTGTGTGTCATAATACAGGTTTCTACATGTTTCAAACAATTACTTGAGAGCTGTAAATCTCAGGTTTCCTGTTTTTGCAGTGCAATAAAGAGCAAATACCTCCTCCATCTTCGGTGTCTTCTTCACCATCTGAAGGAAGGAAAGGAAAGGAAGTTATGGGTATTCAGCATCACTGACAGTCTCGCAGAAGACAGAGGGGCAAAAATAGAAACTGATAATGAAAAAATGGTGGAAAAATCGCCATCACATACCAAACACTCGTCACTTCAACTCTACATAGAGCAGAATATTTGATTCATCCCATGTGTGTTTGTCATGAGTTCAATTAAATGATAAACACAGATGTACACAGAAAAAAAATAGAAATGCAACAGCTGTAGATTAATTTCTAACTAAACAAAAGCAAAAAGAAAATAAAAAAATATATATATTATATTGAAAGGTAAAGCTAAGTAGGCTAAGTAAGCTTTACTATGATTGATCATAATTTTTCACCTCAAAACTATTTTATTTGGAATAATATAAATATATAAATCGGTTTTATATGCTAAATGACTAAATGTTTTGCTTTTGGAAGATAGTGGCATATTTTATTCTTATTTTTATAATTTTTTTTTATTAATGTAAATATTTGTTTCTTTTCAGTCCAAGGGAATATGCCATAATTTTTTAGAGAAATTCCTGATTACTTTAAATTACTCATACAGTCTTTTTTAAAGAACTCTTCATGATCTCCTCACATTATTATTTCTAGTTTGTTTATTGACCAAAATCTCTTTTTGAATGTTTTTAGCAGTTTATTTAATTTAAATGAATGAAAACACTTCTCAACAGAACTCCGAATTGTCTTTGCTTGCTTACGTTATTGGAACAATTCAATGATCCCTTTCTTTTTGATTGTGAATTGTACATTTTACAAATGATTTGTTACATTTTCTGGCAAAGTTGTCAGTATTCACAAATCGTTTATTTGGACGATGTAGATCTGGAGGGGTTTGAGGTCAAACTGAGGGTCCCACCAACAGGACTCACCGTGTTCCTGGGTGGTCTCTTCCTGTTCTCCTGCTTCCTCCCCATGAGCCTCTGAATATGGAGAAAGTTGAAGGACGGGTGTAGTTAGAATTGCCGTCAACTATGAGTCATTTGTTTCCCTTCATTAGGTATCAAATTACATAACAATTCCTTTGAATTTAGTCATTGCATCCAGTTGAGAGTGTGGAAGATACAAACTCTAATAGAAGTATGCGTGTAAGAGTGTGTGATGAAGCTAATTTGGAAGATGTGAGTTCATTCCCATGGGCAAATGAGCTGTATACCAGCCTGGGCATGATGGGTACTGGTGGCAGGCTTGTTAGGTTAGGCATTCCTCAAATCTCTCAGATAGTTACACACTTACACACAGCAATAAACACGTCTCTACACAGCCACACAACTGTTGTCTATGATATAAATGCGCCGGCATGTCTGAAGTCATACCACCCTTAAAAAGTATTGTAGTACAGATGGTAATACCATACTTTGAGTTAGTTCCTTTCCTCAAATCTGATTGACCAAGCAGCATTCGAAAAATGTGGATCATTGTTAGACTGTTCATTTTACATTGATACTGTATGGGTCATTGAAGAATAGAAAGAGCTTTAGTAATAACTAAGTGAAAAATTACTATAAAACAAATTTCCTGTAAAAAATTAAATCAAAATATGAAGAAAATGGCCTAAAACCTACATTTATTTCTTGATTTTAGTTAAATCATGGCCATATGCTGCCTATGGAAGCAGCATTGTTCAGTTTTTGAATGCAGCCTATGAGGGAATCATTGAATTATTCACTTCACCAATTTGTTCAAAAACACTCATTATGAGTACTTTGCTGAGTACTAGGGTTGTGACGGTGAGGAAATTTTCCCAACGGTTAATCGACGTGTGACAACACCGGTAATACCGGTATTACCGGGGCGGGATGTTACCTCTTTTCCTGGCTTTCCTTGGCTTTTAAATAGCTTGTAAAAGCAGCGTGCACATTTTACTTTCACTTTGAAATAGCGTCAATTCGGCGTAAAGCAATTGTTAGTTTTTAGTTCGTTTGAATTTTCCCTCTTTTCCTCGCTTTCCTTCGCATTTTAAATAGCTTAAAAGCGCCGTGCACATTTTACTTTCACTTTCGAATTAGAGGCAGGTCGGCGTCAAAGTTGACACAAAGTTTAAATAAAGTAAAAATCAGCAAACACTGTGGAACCAATTAAATAAGAAACGAATGTTTAAAAAAAAAAAATCCAATATCACCTTAGATAAACGGCAAAAGTCAACAGGCTTTTCAAAACCCAAAATATTGCCAAACAGGAGCTTTAGCATCTCGTTTCGAAACTAAATCATCCGCGATAGTCTTGTCTGTCTCACCTGACCTCACTCTTCTTGTCAGTCAGCTTGACTCACTCTCCTCACTGGAGAAATGAAATCTGATCTGTGTGATGCGACTGTTGTTCGGCATGCTGCATTGAGCAGCCGCGTTCAGTTTTTTCGGACCAAAATAATTTTTATTACTATAAAAAATCTAAACGGCGGTAGGGGTCGGTGCCGCGGTGGGCAAGTGACGTAACCGGTGTTGCGGCTTAACAACGGTATCACCGTCTATCGCGGCAAGATTACTGAGTACTATATCGGATTTAGCTGTGGATGTGTTTTGAAACTATGTTCTTTGGCAGAGCAAAAGCAGACAAAGAAAGTATTGTGTCTAAAAATTAAGATGCGTCACATTAGCAAAATTTTTTAGGCAGAAAAGGTCCATTGTCTATTGTCGATAGTGTAGTGACATATGAAGCACGGCTCGCACAGAAGTTGCTTTCAAACCAAGCAGCTTGCTTTTTGGTAATTGTGGCAAATTTGCATCACCAAATTTAACATGAGTGAAATCTGTGTGAAATTCCCAGCCGTGTGGATTCCTATTGAAATTACTGTAAATTCACTGAACAATGGTAAATACTGTATGCCTGCACATTTTCAGCCAAACTCCAGTCGTTTCAATTGGAATCCACACTTTTTCATGGGGTGCAAAATTCGCTTTCGCTCATCTCATACTGTTGCTCTGTTAAATTTTGTAGGTGAAATCCAATAGGAATCTGTTCAGTCTGTAGTTTCACTCACATAAGAGTGAAAATTTTCCCTACACAGATTTCGCTAATTTTCATGTTGGTCACACAAGTTTGCCACATTGACATTTGCCACTGCATAATAAAATCAGCCCCATTGGCTATCAAAATCGCATTCCGGGGGGTCAAAACCTCCTTCCAGGGGGTTCCACCTAGGTTGAAATGTTCCAAGGGTTTGGGGGGTTTCGCTTCAATGGGCAGAAACCCACAGAAATAGTATAAAAGTAGCCCAATTCAATGGGAAAACCAACACTGATGTTGACCAACATAAAACTGCTATAACTTTAGTATAAGCTGTGTTTCATACACTATTGACAATGAACATTTTTGGCCCAGGAAATTCTGCCTAAATTTCAGTAACCTTTGACTTCTTGTTTATTATACAACTGTTCAGATGAGGTCACATTTACTGTTGCTCAGAGAAATTTGCAGGCAAAATCCAGACATTCTAATAAGAATCTGCGTGATTGGGAGTTTTGAGTAGGGGCGAGAATGTTCCCCACGAGGATTTCGAATTGGGTGTGTGAATTTGCCGCGCTGAGTGACTTCTATGGGAGCGGTCGCTATTTTTTGACATTAACAATATCTCTTTTTATCCTGCAAAATGTCTCTGCAATTTCGCTAATGTGGCGGCACCTTTAACACAGTCACAATCGTGCTGCTGGTGTGAATATCGGCGGTTAGGCCTATTACCTTTTGCAACCTCAAAACAGCAGCTCTCTTGTTCATGCAAACATTTGTTTAAATATACCTTGAGATGATTACCATTTTCATGTTTCATGTTATTTACTCACAGAATGCCATGGTACATATCCAAAAATATGGTATAACCATGCTACCATATTATTTTTTAGTGTTAGTGAATGGCTTGTGCCTTTTACCTTTAGCAGATAACTACCTTCCTCATGCTGCACCTCCTCCTGTTCCTCCTCTTGCACCTCTAAGCCATACCATGCAGGTTAGGTGAGTAAACAAACAAAAACACGTCACAAAGATGGAAGCTAGGAGGTCTGTTCACACTGAAAGACAGTAATGGATTAGTGATGATATGCAGATGCTTCAGAACTCTCTGCTCTATTCCATATGTGTCATTTTTGGGTGTGTTTTGTTGAAAGCTTACTAGCAGAATACTGCTGCAACTCACAAGAAAAACTCCGCTTTCATGCTCATAAATCTATGTGACGGGTCACCATATCTTCCGACCGCACTTACATGTCAGAATATTTATGATTTTTGTTTTAATCTGCAAAGGTGTAACATATGCAGTGATCAACTGGTATTTTTGAAGGTTTTTATTGAAGTATTGTTATATCAATCCTATTCAGCTTCACTTTTCTAAAACTATGTAGCTGCAAGGCCAATATTTACAACCTATTTTAAAAACAAAAACTGTATTTTCTTGTTTACAGTGGAAGTATGAAAGCAATATTATGAAACACAAGACTTACCCTCCTGCTCCCTAGAGAACAAGACAGAATAGTGCTGTTATTTCCATTGTTCTCATAGCTCAAGTTCCTTCCCAACAGCTGCCTGAACTCTCAGATTAAATCAGATAAGTGGGATATATGACAAGCAGATGCTATTAAAATAACCTATAGCACTGTAGTATACAGTTAATGCACAGTATTCTTATTTAAAAAACGTAATATTACTAGAAAAGAAATATCGTAAGAGACAAATCTGTCACTGATGGATGGATGATTATTGAACAATGAACTGGAACACTTACTCGTACTCCTCGACTTCTTCATTGTCTGACATTTTTATTCTGTAATAAAAATACATTTAAAAAAAAATATTTAAAAGAATAATCAATATCATAAGTGATCCAAAAACACACATTTCTGTTTTTCTAAACATTCTAAAAATTCAGTTCTTTTTTTGTTGTTTTTATTCTAATTTGAAATGCACTTTATGTACTATTATACATCCATTTTTCTGTACATAATACATCAGTTATATGCTACACAATACTCTTACCTGATATACCAGCAGAGATGTGTGAAGGAAGGCTGTCTGTCCGAGAGGCAAGCTCTGGCTCTCCTCTTGATTCTTATATGATCTCATATGCTGGGGCTCATGCATCTCACTCACTGTGGTTATTTTTACCCTCAGAGATAAGTGGAGAACAGTCATGCAAACACTCCCTAAAAGGCCGCTGTCATTGTTATGGTGCAGAGAATGGCGATGGCTAATGTCCATATCAACACGAGTCTCTTAGAGGTGTCCTCTGATAACACATGGGACTGGTTAGTCTCTGACCGGTTTGACTCACTTCATGGCACCATGCTTACCATTCCACATCTCCCTCACGCCAACAGCCTGAGATTGCACCACGCTCAGATGTACAGTTTAGTTTGTACCCAAGATCAAGCTATGTTGGAAGGTTTAAAACAGTTTCAAGGTTGGTTTGAACTTAGGCCTTATGTTGTTTGAAAAGCTAAGTATGTTGGAGAGAGATTCATTTTAATCTCTTATAAAATTAATGTTGGGAGTTTTCTATGCTGTTGCTAGTGTGCTTTGAGTGGTTACTAGATGTTTGTTCGAGAGGGACACTTTGATATTCATGTAATATGTAGCTCAAAGAGCCGCACAAAAAAATGGGAAATATTAATGTTAAAGTTTTCCTTTCCCTTTGGAGTGTTACAAGCTGTTCGTGAATAGATAAGATCCCTAAAGTTGCAAAGACTAAAGTCTCAAACCCAAAGAGATATTCTTTATAAAAGTTAAGACTCGTCCACGCCCTCCTAAAATGCCTCATTTAAACACGCCCACACCTGTCTACGTCACTGTGCGGGAAGATTTGCATAACGTCGCCCAAATGTTCATGCTAAGAAAGAAGACGTAACGGAGGGAACGGAGACGTTACGTCAGTCGTGACTGATGAATTGGGATCTTGCCCGAGAGCCCAATCACCTTCGAGTGTTAACTAAACAAGCCAATGACAGTTGGCGTGCGTGTTTCGCCAGGCGCACCCCGCCCCGCAGCGCGGGTATAAAAGGAGAGCGCGTTCAAACGCACATCAGTTTTTTGCTGAGGAGCCGAGTGGAATTACACATATGGACTGGCCCCGGGCAGTACTACATATGGAAGTCCCTGCGATAGACTCAACCCGCCTGGGGTGAGCTCACTACGCAGCAGAGATGGCAGTGAACGACTGCCAGGGAAAGACACGGGCTTACACTACCTGATCTCTAAAGGCGTGGTGGAACTTTGGGCACATATCCGGGCCGAGGTCTCAGGACAACGTGAGAGTTACCTGTTCCGAATTCTAGGCACGAATCGTCGACCGAGAATGCCTGCAGGTCC